CTGTCCAGTCTTTTTGGCAGTCTGTTGGTAATGACTTAGTGAACAGCATGTAGACTTGTTAGAGCAAGCAGATTGTGCAGTAGTTCTTCAGATCTTCCTTTTCGCTCATTTTTAGCGGCACGGTTGGTTTTGACTCCTTGCAGCGTGACAAGGAGTTTCGGGTAGCAGTTGAACCTCTCCGCTAGAGCCGCGGTGTCTGACGACTTGTTCCGATTATTTCAGCTGCCGACTGTCTCTCCTTGTAGCTGCTCGTTTCTTAATATGCTGCGTGGCATGCCTTCCCTCTTATGGGGATCAGGGGTGCAATTCCTTCTGGTTCTTGGAGCGATGGTTGGTTGCATGTCTCTGAGGCAGAGTGCTCGGTGTAAAAGTTCTTTCCGATAGACTTGCCTTTAGGCGCTCTCAGATGTTAATGCGTCATTACCGTTCTTCAGTGACGTGATGGCCGACTAATATAGCATCAGATAATTGAACATGATAAACCTGTTACTGTAGCTAGCTTTAGTCTCCTTGCAGTATCACATAATCTTTCATGTGATAAACTGTGACAAAAAAATGCTGGTGTCAGAAGTGCACTCTTGACTAAAGTCAAAGCTCTCACGTAAAATCAGCAATTGTTTTGATGTTTTGTTCGCCTAACCACATTTTTAGTGAACAAGAACCTCCTCAGTCGATGCTCAAGCTAAATCTTATCGCTGACCGAGAACAGGGCTGGCTTCTGATCGTTCAAACGATGATTGATATTGTGCCGGTGGATAACCCTTTAGGACCTGCTGTGATCACGTTGTTTCTTGACGAAAGCCCTCTTCCTACAAAAGTGTGTTGTGTACCATTTTTCTTGTTCACTGCTTACGGTCATTTGCTTATTTATTAAGGAAACGGTGACGAAGCTGTTGTTTCTTTTGAACCTGAGTGGCGAGCTGGTCCGACAAAATATTCACCCGCCATCATGGCACAAAAACCTGTGTATCGTTCTCGGCTGCCTTTCAGAAAAATTGGCAGGTACGTGTTTGCTGCTCTTCTGCTTACACTGTTTCAGCATATATTGTATAATTAGTCGTCTTTAAACCTGGAGACAAGAAACAAAACGCTCAAAACCTTTATAACAAAAGTTTGAAGTAAGAAGTTCTCAAAGCCACAGTCATCTGATACAACAGTATTTAAGCACATCGATTAAGAAAACAAATTAAAATTTTAGGTCGTTGTTTAAGATACATCACAGTGTCCATCTTCAGGGCTCAGAAATGATGATATGCTGTGTAAACACTGAAACCTCAATGATGACTGCTTTTAATTAATGACCTTATATAGTAATGAATGGAAATATAAGATGATAATGTAAATCATCGAAATGTACAAAAGTTATTTAGCTGCTGAAAGAGGGTTCACTGAGGTAATATGGACACTCTTGAATTCCTGACCCAGAATTGAGAATAGCTTTAATTTAACGTTATTTCAGCCCAAATCAAACTTTTGGCACCTGCGGACATTTTCCACTTACACGTATATTAAGGCACGCAGTAACAGGACAGAACATTGTAACCTACCACTGGTCTTCCTGTACGCAAAACGCAAACTCTGTAGACAGATCTGCCAATGAGGATGTATGAATCTTGTATTCTGTCAGTGATTCGATGCTGCTTAATATGAAAACCAGTAACCTTCTATCCTTCTGAAGCATTTTGTGAAACTTCTTGGATGATTTGGGTTTTTCTTCACGGCATTATAAATAGTCGCAAAACCGCTATTTGATCTGTAATGAGACTACTGGCAGTGGTTCCTGACAGCAGTTCTTTGGCAATGACTATAGACATTCGGTATGTGGTTCATCTTCCTTTCTGAAGCAATCGCATCTGTCATGATTCGCCGTCATGCCATCCCTAGAGGTTGCAGTTTGTTTGCACATCTTTCCCAACGTCCACCACATACGACTCATCGTGGCGATTCAGTGGCGGTGTTCAAAGAAAAATGTATAATTGCTGAATTCTTGCTGCGCCAACGATATTGATTGTTCCGCTTTAAAATTGACTCAGAATGTTTCGTAAACTCTTATCATCTTTTAAAAAAGAAAACCAGTGGTTATTACATTCTTTTTTAGTGATAGTTAAATGTAATTCTTCTGATAGCATGAACCGCTGATAAGGTCTGTGACCAGCTTAAACGTTGTCAACAGTATTTTAGATGCAAATGAAAATTATTTATTATGTTACGGACAGATAGACTGAAATATCAGAATTGAATCATTAGTTTATGATTTTCCCGTTGCCGGTCCTAAGACCGGTTGCGAAAGGAGAAGAGTTGGAGACTGTAGCGAAGTCTCCGTAAAATTTTTCAACCTCCCCTTCATTGTATTGACGTCATCGAAAATTATACCGGCTCGATCGTCGCCCAGGTAACCAAGGGCCGCGCAGGCTGTTGGAGGACTGAGCTAGACTGCGAAAAGTCTGCGATCACAACCTATTCATTCCCTCTGTCAGCCGGGGGGCGTAGCAGCAAGACAACGGCTTACGAAGACCGACAGAACGATGTCAAATATACTGGTCAGCAACGGGTGGTTAGCCGCTGTGAACTTCGAACCCGAGTATAAGCTGCCGAAATGGGCTTTCTTAGACGAGTCGCTGGCCTTACGTGTCTTGACGTGGTCCGGAATAGTGACCTTCGGAAGAGCCTTGGTTTACAGCCTTTACTTCTCCAGATTGAGAAGTCACAGCTGCGATGGTTTGAAAACGTGTTGCGAATGCCGCGAGAGAGGAAGACTAAGGAACTGTTTCTTGAGAAACCGACCGGCAGAAGGCCCAGTTGACCGCCAAGATTAACGTGATGCAAATATATTCAAGAATCTGTTCCAGACTCCAGTATTCTGCCTAAGCTCAGACTCTAGCACAGGATCGGTAACGTTGGAAGGCCTGTTAGGCGTCTGTCACCGCCACCCGAAAGTTGATGAAGGAGAAAATGAAGCTTATGATAAACAAAACAGCGCTTTATTTTTTATAGTCGTATTTTTGATTGGCTGAATTGACATTATTGGCCACTGAATTGTTATAACATTTTTCTGTTCTGTTAGTTCAGGATCTTAACAGTTGTGGATACTCATGTTAGTTTCTACCAGTATGCCTTTCTCGTTGTAAATCGTCGAATCACTGTTGCAGTTGTGTTAAAATAAATTATTTTTTACATTGAAGGACCAAACAGCGTTGCGACATTCCATTCATCGACCTTAGATTACCTGATCGAAAATCTGGTACCATATGAATGCAAAGTATATTTTGTTAATCTTTATAAGTTTTTCTTAGAATCCGTCTCGAATGCCGTACGTCATTTTGCACGCCCTCATCACTCTTGAAAAATATGCTCAGACAAGTAAGTGCGGAATATTTACAAATTTTACTTTATGCAAATACTAATAGTAAACGTCACATTTTCAACAACCAGTTATAATTGACTGACATTTGTTTACAAAATATGGGAGCAGAAGCTAGGAGTTTTTGTCTTTTAAAGAATCATTTTTGTGCAGTCCCGTTGTGGATGTTGGCTAGAGTAAAAATCGTTCAGTATCTGTGACAGTCATTTGACCATGTGTAGAAGATGACTAAGAAACTGGACTGTAATTACTTTCCATGGCATCACGTGGACATTAATAAAACAGTTGATTAACCGCGGAAAAGCAAACTTAATTTCTGAGGCGAAAGAACTCGTTAAAGCTATTCGAGACGACATAATTTAAGCGAACTCACACATGAAACATTCTCCATATGAACTGCCACACAAGTGTAAGCTCCGCATTTTCTACTTTAGAGTCCATTCCGCAAACAGGAAAAGATTCGGTGACATATTTACATTGCTAACATACCGTACCAGTAACTCGCAAGGGATTCGACAGATGAAACTTACTACAGTAGCTACCAAACAGAAGAAAAGTGCTGTTCGATATATCATTACCAGCTGATTATCACGGTCTGTTCTGCCGATAAAATCTTAGTTTTAAACCAAAAGTATAAGTGAGCAGAAATCACCGATTTGGCAGTTTTATCGAGTGAAAGTTTGCAGGATATATTGACAGAAAATCAAGAAAAATCAGAATTTGACAGTAACCTTGAAAGACATCTATCAACTCAAAGTAGTTCCAGTAGCATCATCTATAATCTGTTCTAATAACCTGATTCTGAAAATAATCAACTGGTGCATGGAACATCGAGCATAAGGCCGTATTTGACAGACTAATTTAACAATGCCAGATTATTGTCCTTTGAAGTACAGCAGATTTTGTGTATTACTAACGTGATACAGATTCTCAAGTGATTTTCTGAAGTTGGTCCCCAAATCCTGCCAAGTTATATCAGAATGAGGAAGTAAATACACCAAAACGCTTTCTTTACTTTCATTACATTGTTGATAAAACTAGTCTTGTCGAAGAGCAGCATCTTTAAAGCGAAGTATCCATTTCAATAGCAGTCACCGTTTATTCACATAACTGCGATATCTCGGCAACATTATGTTAAAGACAGTTTGGAGAAATTAGAAGGGCCGCAGTGGATTAAGAGTCTGTTTTACATTTCAAAGATGTTGGGTTCTAGCACCAAGGATCCATTGGATTTTTCCCACTGTACTTCGATGAAACCAGCAGAGACATGGGTAGTAAGTCATTGATTGTAAAAGAATAGGGCACCACTGTATTCTCATATGATCATACCGTGGGTGCGTCAGCGGTCATGCTGTGATGCGTGCGCTTTATAGCCTTAACCCACCGTATGGCTGGAATTTACCGGGAGGTGTAAAGTATAAATGACTTCATCTTCATTTTCCATCGCCGTTTCTCCTTTTGGGTCGCGGAAGCAGACGCGTCAGACACAGCTTCCAACGTTCCCGATCCTGTGCCAGAGTCTGAGCTTCGGCAAAAGACAACTGGAGTCTCGAACAGACTCTTTCCATATATTTGCACCAGGTTACTCTTGGCCATCTCCTAAGCCTTCTGTCAGTCGGTTGGGCAAGAAATAGTTGCTTAGCCTTCCTTTCTGGAGGCATCGCAACACATGCCCAAACCATCACAGCTGTGAGATGAAAAACCTCTCCATCTGAGAAAGCAGAGGCAGTACACCAAGGCTTTCCCGGACGTCTCTATTTCAGACCATGTCAGGCCAGCGACTTATCTAAGAAAGCCCATTTCAGCAGCTTGTACCCGGGTTCGACGTTTTTGAGTGATGGTCCACGATTCATGACCGAAGATAAGCGTGGGGATAAAAATCGACTTGAACACTGAAAGCATAGTTTTCAGACTGAGCTCTGTTTTGCTCACAGTGGGTCGGGATAGTTCACGCAGAACGCCATTGGCTACTCCAATTCGCCGGTCGATCTCTTCCTCCAATTTTCCATCACTAGTA